CGGGGAGCGGGGTGGGCACACGCGGTGCCCGTGAGGTGACCGAATGGCTCAGCCTGCGCCGAAAACTCAGCTTTTTGGGGTTTTTTTTGCAGAATTCGCTGTGTCTTTGACAGCACCCTGAAAATGGATCGTGGTGTTTTTGGGAAATCGCCACTTTCGGCAGACGCTCGGCTTGCTGAGTCCTGCTGTGTGAAGAGCATGCCGAGGGAGACACAGGGCTGCGTCGGTGCTGCCTTCCCGGCGGGCTCGGGACCGGACGCAGGCTTTCGCCGGAGGGCGAGGAGATCCATCTGGCCTGAGCCTGGGCTGGCATCACTGGGACCACGGCCTCACCTTTTCAGAACCTTTTTTTCTCGCGTTCGGACTCAGTCCTGAATTTGTCCACCTGGTTAATAAAATTGGTTAGGGCTTAAGAACCTAACCTTCGCAAAAGTTTTGGGTTTCTTTGTACAGAAAAAAGAAATACAGATGCTAGAGATATAGATTAAAAAATATCTGGAAAAAATTAGGCTCCAAATATCTGGCACTAGGCTCTCTGCACCCTACAGTATAAAAATCAGGCTTAGTCCATGCAACTGCTTTCGCCTTGGGTATATTTCTACCCCGCTCTCTTCCACAGCGGTGGGCACTGTCTCACCCTACCAACCTCCTCCGCCCTTCTGCTGATCATTCATTTACTTGGACTTTCCACTTACATCTGATTTCTGCTCTGCTTTGGGTTTAGGGGTTCTTTTTGGTGCGGCGGTTGGTTTTGAAGGGGTCTTCAAATGTTTGTGTATATGGAAATTAGGATATCAGGACCCACATTGCAGGCGAAACCTCTTCTCTTTCAGGGTAAGGGAAAATCCCCAGACAGACCAGGCTAGTTGTTCTGTGTTAGGCTGGAAAGCTGGCAGAAACTGGCAGAAAAGTAGATGATGAAAACACAGTTCTGTACTAGCTTGACTCTTTAATACTCAGCAATACAAAATCAGTAAAGTTGGTCGTGTTTCTATTTGCAGATCAACCGCTTCACAAGAAGCTGACCTAACAAAAATTTTGACTGAGCACTCTCCTGAAAAAAAACATGCTTACCTTCACTTTTTTCTTGAGTTTTTAAGTTAGAAAACTACATGGTTGTATTTTTAGAAAACACAATTTAGAAAAAGGATCCTTTGTGTGCAGTCTTGTCTGTCTTTCCCATTCTGTCATTTTTTTCCTTTTTACGATGAAGAGCTTTTCTTGAGAGGATCATATAACTGTGACAATATTTCACCCCCAATGGCTGTTACACCCCGTGAGCAGCACAGCTGGCCAAAAATGAGTACAAAGAGTCAGATTAGAAAGTTGTTACTTGTAGGGTGTCATGTGTGTTGAGAAGTACAGCAAGGTATTTTAGTTCTTAGGATACCCTCAGCTCTCTGTTACCCCGGGTCTCCCCAGCTGCTGCCTGGGCCCCTCTCTCTGCGGCAGCCCTTACAAGCTAGCAAGGCTTGGACGTGCTCGCCCCACTTCACATCCTGTCTGCCCTCCTTTCCGATGTGTAGGAGGTGCCGCTGCCAGGCTTTAGCTGCATCTGCCATTGCTGTTGGGATTTTTTTTTTCTCTAATCTTCTATAAAAAACATTGGGTGTTTTTTGGTTTTTTATTTTTTAGTGCCAAAAAGCCTTTGTGTTCCTTACAGTCTGTTATATATTAACAGAAGTTATGTTGTGGTGAGTGAGGTTGGGCTTAAGTGCCCAATACAAAAATGCTGACTGTCAGATGTTTGCATCTCAATAAGGTTGTCTGTGCTGGAGAGCTTTCAGGGATAAAGTCCCAAATAGTTTAAGTATCACACTGCATGTTTTCCTCTGCCGCAACGGAGAACAGCTTAAACAGCTTGCAAACATTTTTAGAACAGCACTTTCCTCTTTTCTTACCAAAAAAATCTTCAGGATATTCTTAAGGCCTAGGAATAAAATTCATTCTACTAGCTATGTTTTAAGGTGGCATAATGACAAGGGTCCCTAAGCCTTAAGATACTGGTTTTTATATGTTCGTTCTTGTGGAATGAGACTCGCCCCTAGAGGTAAAATTACCACCAGGATTGGGTAGGATGATCTTGATTTCCTTTGCCAGGCAAAAAACAAATACTTCATTTTTCAATTTAGAATAAGTCCTGTCATTTGTTCTTAAAATCTGGAGGAAATTAAGTGCTTTTTGGGGTTGGGCACTTTAAAGCTGGTTCCTTTGTAAAGGGTTGCAAGCTGTTTAAGATTTTTGTAATTTCTTCTACAGATTCAAATTATCCAACCTTATTAAGGTTCTGTGTACAAGTTTGTGTGAACTATAATCTTTTGTGAAGTGGTAGTTTTCAAGGGCTGGAAAATAAAATAATGAACACAATAACATATTATTGGCTGAGGAAATTAAGGACAACATCCTAATTCCTGCCCAATGTCTGTTTGCTCATTACCGTCGGGCTCCAAGCTTAGCAAACATTTGTTATACCCACCGGTGCCGGTGTCCTCTCCACTGAAGCATTCCCTCCCTCTCACACTCTTCAGCATCTCTGGAAGCTCTCCCCAAAGCCTCTGCGGAGGTTTCTGTGTTTGCCTGCTTGTCTCTGGAAAGCGCCTGCCCTCCCTTCCGCTCCGGACTTCCCCCCGCCTCTGCCTTCCTTACCTGGACTTCCCCAAAACTCTTCCACTTCGTGCACCTCTCTGCTGCTTCCCGTAGCTGATCCACCCTGACGTCCGTTGAGTCGGTGTTCTTCATGGTTCTTCTCCTAGTACAAACTTTTTCAGTCACCTACTTCTGTCTGCTTATCGCTCGTGCTTTATTAAACCAGGCTTCTGAAGCTCGCTCTGGTGCTGTCCCATTAAATCTTCCCTCTCTGCTGCTTTAAATTTCACCTGCTGGATAATCCTCATGCCCATCACAGTACCCCAACTAACCGATCTACCTACTTATCCCTGCATTATCCTTCCATAAATGCTGTTGCTTAAAATTGCTGTGACTCAGTAAAATCTTACTGCCATCTTTTTGTAAAATACCTGTTCCTCTTTTTATCCATAAAATTTCAAAAACCTCTCCTTAAACCTTTCAGATTAAATCTCTTCCCGTAACTTCCCTCTAACCTTCCTGTAAAATCCCCACTTATGGCTCCATGACATTTCTAATGTCAAATCTCCCCCTAAAAGTAAAATAATCCTCAAACATAGCGCTACTATCCCTCTTGACTCTTCCTTTTAACCTTTTCTTACTAATGCTTTCCAAGCCAACGCTCTGCTGTCCAACGCTCTGCTGTCCTCCTCTGCTCTGCTCTGCTCTGCTCTGCTCTGCTCTCCTCCCCTCTCCTCTCCCCTCTCCTGTCCTGTCCTCTCCTGTCCTGTCCTGTCCTGTCCTGTCCTGTCCTGTCCTCTCCTCTCCTCTCCTCTCCTCTCCTCTCCTCTCCTCTCCCTCCTACCACTCACGCTGCCTTAGACCACCGGCCTAGGATGAGACAGAGCCTAGCAAAACACACTTTGCAAGTGTCTTCCTCCTTGCACTCTTTTGTTATTCCCAGTTACATCGCTAACAGAACATTTGATATCTCTGTCAGAGACGATCAAAAGAGTTGAAGAAATTGGGTGGTGCTCCGTAGTCTTGCCCATTGACTTCCGAAGATTCATTTGTGGCAGATGCCAGTGCAGGCGTGAAGGTGTGAAGGGGGACGTGGAGGTGCTGGCAGTCTCGTTGCTGGGCTGTGAAGTGATTGCATATTTCTTCTCTGACCGACTTCCTTTTATTAGAGTGTGTAGATGGAGTTTTTATTTTTGTTTACATCTGTGCTATTTGCTTTTCAAATTCTCTGTTAATCTTTGCTGTATCTCTTCTTACCTACCAAATTCTGTTACCGCTTGGTCTTGGTTGTTTTGGCATTTTTGTCTAAATGTGGATAAACTGCTGTCCCCCGCCACTTTAAACCACTTTCTGCTACTTCTGAGCTATGTGCGCTATCTAAATCCCAGAGGCCTAGCCTATCATCATGGATTTTTATTTCCTCAACTTTTCTTCCAGAAATTAATTAAGTTATTCTTTTTTTCCCCCTCAGGGGAGCTTGGTGTCACAGCGCTAACCTTCTGGCAAGGTATTCCTGTGTAGGGTTCTAACAGTTAATTATGTTCTAGCCCCCATAGTCAGTGGTTTAACTGGATTACTTTCTTACGACTTGTGCATGCAAATTCATACAAATCTGACAATCCCACTTTCACTGAAATATCAGTTTTATCCTATTGTTTGCTGTGCTACTGAATTGGACGGTTACAACTTTTTTTTTAAGTGCTAGGGCCTGATTGGAAATCTTGCATGTAAGTACAACAGCTTTGTGAAACAGCTGGATTTACTGGGAGGTGTTAGCTTTCAAGATCAATCCGAGAGTCCATCTTCTAATCTGGTTTCTGTATGTCTTTTACCATTCTTGAACTCTGCTATCATTTGACCAAAATTCAGTCCATAGTTTCTTTGAGCTAGTTTGGTTCGACAGACAAAGTAGTATTGTTCCTTGCAGCGAAGTTCGTTCATCTAGCTGATGGAGGAGTGCAGCGTGCAAAGGGAAAAAACAAACTTATGGAATGAAGTTTGCTTGATTTTTCAAGTATTTTGTCTTACAGTGTGAGAAATGAACACAGATCTCCAGCTGGCATGTGCTGGGTAAGAATGGCAGCGGGGATGGGAGTGGATTCCGTGTCCATGCAGATGACTTCGAAGGCGCGGTGAGAACAGAATCACAGAATCACAGAATGGTGGGAGTTGGAAGGGACCTCTGTGCATCACCCAGTCCAACCCTCCTGCTGTTTTTTTCAGGACCTTGTCCAGGGGGGTCTTGAATATCTCCAGAGAAGGAGACTCCACAACCTCCCTGGGCAGCCTGTTCCAGTGCGGTTTCTACCACAGCTCACAGTCTCGCTCTGTCAGACGGTCTGTTGCTGCCTCTCCAGTGCTGCACCGTGTGAGGGTTCAGACCGACGACTCCACTTCTCTGACGACTCCTTGCTATTTGTGATGAAGTTCAGTCAGCCTAGCCTGGAAACAGTTTACTGAGCAACCGTGCTCCCTCTTTTTTTCTGCCCAAATAGGTGCTCTCTAGGGCCGGATTTGAACAGGGAACCAGGTAAATATGCCCTAGAGCAACCTGTTGAGGAGCAGGGCTGCAAACCAGACACAGAGTCAAAAAGTTATGCAGTGAGGTGTGAGAAGGTAGGGAAAAACTGACGCTGACAAGCCTCACAGGGCTTGGGAGAGGAGGGAGGAAAGGGTGGATGCTCTGAGGCAGGCTGTCAATGTGCTTGAGGACCAGTTTGCAGAAGGCGTACAAGCAAATGCCCCGAGGGTATGATCACCACAGAAAAGAATTGCTTGGAGGAGACGGTTTTCTGTTCTGGCCCTCGACTCTGTGTTCACTGTGACGGAACCCAGGGAGCATCTCGCAGTGGAGCTCTTCCTTACGGAGGATCCATCGAAATCAAAGTATCGCAAAGAAACAGAGCAAACTGAGAAAGTGAAAAGTAACAAGTTGCCAAACTGAGTGGCAGTGATAAAGTAGCAGGTGGAATTCAGTGCAGATAAATGTAAAGTGACTGCCGCTGCGGAAAATTTTCTAAGGTAGCAAGCTACCGAGACATACTTGAGCAGCGTTGAGTCTGCCAAACGAAAATGCTCCTGCGGGATGCCCGTGCTGCCGCACAGTACGAATACTGGGGAGCATAACGCAGGGCAATTGGATTTGTCCATACGCTGGCTCATTAGTCCAGCCTGCACGCTTGCCCTTTTGGGAATGAGCTGCTTTCGGGGAGAGGTGCTTCTGGTAGCCTTGTATTCCTCCACGAGAGCGAGCTCGCATAGGCTTCCAGCCATAAGCTAGCCTTGGGTGTTTTCTGTGCCGTGTCTTTGTGGCACGTTGTCCTCCAGAGTCCGGAGTTCTCGGGGATACCCTATGTGGGCAGCTGGGCTGCCACCATCTCGGCTAGCAGGGGAGCCGCCAGGTTGTGGGGCTGGCGTGCCACCTAAGGTGCTGGCTGTCACCTGGGTGATGAAGAGCTGACTGTACCTATCCACAGGACAGAAATGACATCATAGGTTTAAGCCACCCCTAAGGTAAACTTGATTTATCTGAGTAACACTACCTTTGTTGTTTTTTATATTTATGATACGTTTCCAGAACCTACAGAGCCTATTCATTCTTCTTAAAGACAGCATCCTCTGACCATACTCACCTCCATACAGCTAACTCTCATTACAGTTTAAAACACTGTTAAACACGTTTTGGTCCACTTGTCCAGAGACAATTCAGTTCCTGTCTTTCTGTCTCTCCAAAAGTAAACATGCAAATTAATAACTAGAAACCTAGAAACCCAATCCAGTGGTTACTGGCTCACTGTCAGTGTCTTGTTGGTACTGGTTACAATTCATAACCCTTCAGGGCTTTTTTTTTTTTTTTTTAAAATAACAGCCCTCTGTCTCTTCAGAATTTTTTTTTTTTTTTTGCAGGATCAGTACAAAGTCAGTAAAAATTTATCAGGTCTCTGAATTCTCCCTGCGTACCTCTGGGTTAAACTGTTGTAGCTGCATGCTTTTGCTCTAACCTCCTGCGGGCGATGAGCTGCACGGAGTAGGGAAGTGCAGCGGGCACAGAACTACATCCCCAAAGAAGCTTAGTGAGGGCTGAGGGATCTCCTCAGCGAGCTGACTAAGAAACTTGGCCTTCACTGAAATGCAGCAGATGATGCATGCGGAATTTAGTGTGATGGCTTTTTACAATGCTTTGTTTGAGCTGTCCCTTCATTCGGCGATTGTTTTTCTCCTGCACCACAGTATTCGTAGGGCCTACTGCGTCCCATATGACGGACCATAACGAAGTTGCCTTGTAGAAGGAATCCGGCAGATATTTCAGGAATTCAGTGCTGGTTATTAGTAGCAATCATCTGGAAGTGTCCAAAACAAACACAAACAGTGATCAATCAATGGCTGTGACATATCAGTGAGTGTAAGCAGAGGGGAGCACTTAGAAGAGTTCAGAGCCAGCGTGTATGAAACCAGACAGACTACAAAGGGAGAGAACAGCTTAAAGAACATAAAAAATAAAATATACTTCCTGTTGTTCAAATTAGGTTGATACTTTATATTATGAAATTTATTTCAATGATACGTGGCCATGCTGTAAACATCTAGGATGAAAGCTTGGGAATGCATTTTTGTGTGAACAATTGGAACAAAGTCTGTGTGCCTATGTTGTAAGGATTTTATGTAAACAAACGTGGACGATGCTTAAAAGCGAATTTTGTGTTTTACTCATACATTCTTTGCTGTTTCGAGGTGAAAATTGCCAAGGTATTTAAGATTACAAGCTTTAAATGCATATTGAAAAGATGTTTTAAGTTTAAAAGTTACTTGAAAGAGGACAAGCTGCGTTCTTCATCCTTCGCGTACAAGCACATCCGCAGCCAACGCTCAGTTTATAATATTTATTCCCAAATTAGGCACTAGGACCCAACAGGCCTTGCTTTCTGTATCTATCTATCTGCTTTACTGTGGGACACTCGGAAAGGGACGGGAGGAAACCGATGAAGAACTAGTGAAGGGCTGTTTGCCTGCAAACACCCTGACGGGTTGAAAACAAGGGAAGGAGTGTAAGGCCTGTTGCTGCTTTTACCCTGACACTTCAGGGAGAAGGAGAAAAGTAGGAAAGAGGCCTATGGAAAACAGTGCCGATTCCTGAGGAGAGGAATAACTGGGTT